ACACTTAGGGTGCATTTTCAGTGTAAGGAGGAGATGGAAAGGATGAAAGCAAGTGTGGTGGCTTTAAAAGCTTAATGGAGAAATGAAAGCCACTCACTTCAACTGCACCTTTTTTTTCTCTCTTTTTACCTTCTACTTACATTTTATCTAAAAATTAGATAAATTTTAGATAAATTCCTCCAAACACAGGGAAAGGTCTGCATTTTAACAATTTAAAATAACTCTCATGCTGCTTAATTATTTTGCAACGGAAACTACTATAAAACACAATTAATATGTAAGCTAACACAGTAGTTGTGCAGTATGACTCAGCAATGCAGAAAGAAATTACATGCTTTCTGAACAATTACTCCTTTTTGTGTAACAAATACAGCCACAAACAAAACCAGAATATAAATGTCAGTGCTTGCTGTATGACACCAGAATGCCAACGGTGCAGCTGCATGGGTTCACTAAGAACCAAAATACTTCACAGTTTGAGCACATGAAAAATACCACATGACAGGTACTTACAGTGCCCTCAACTTCTGAATAGAGGCCTGACCAAAAGCTGAAAGTACTTTTGTCCAACTGATAGAGGCGAGATTTTTCAAACGTTTCCGAGTCCATGATCTGTCCCAGCTCCTGTGGTACATGTGTTGTTGTTCTATACACCCGCCTCTGAAAAATTGAAGACAAAACTTAAAGTCTACACCTAATATTTTAAAGGAGATGAAAAAGATCTAAAAATAACACATAAAATGATCCCATGGGCCACCGCAGAAAGTTTAAAAGAAAAAACAACACACAAAGGAACAATTATTCGTAAATTCCGGTTTTCTACCAAATTCTAAATATAAAACTGAAGCGTAATTATGTTGTAACCAGAAACTGAACTGCTGGCTTAACAACTTATTTAAAACAGCTCAAATACAGATCACACAAACTGATTTTTCCACAGGATGTTACTTACCACACCACAGTTAAAGCTAAGCTCATTTTGAAACTAAACACCGGATCCTCCCATACAAACTGTGTGACTTCACCAGAACAGAGCTACGAGTGGCTGCACAAACGAGGTGCTATTTCCTTTTCGGCAGAGAACTTACCACTTGAAATGTTTTAAGACTAAAAGTCTTTTCCCTCAGCTATCTTGTTTCAGTATACTTTAAGGAAAAGCTCCTACCCTTTGTCACTTCAAAACACATTCTCCCCTGTCCGGGCATCAGGCTGCATGTCCCCGACCCCAGGGCTCGAACCCCGCGGTGTGCGGCTGCTGCTAAACCTGCCAGGTGGGCCGGCTGGGGTGGAGATGGGGCTGGCAGGCGACAGCCGGGGCTGACCACGGGGACACTCCGTGCTCTGTGTCGTACTCTGCAATAAGCAGCGGGGGCCGGGATGCGCCTGCCAGGGTGGGCATGGCTCGGAGGCTGCCGGGCATCACCCGCTCGGGGAGATGCTGAAGGACGGCCCGTGCACGCTTCCTTCCCCGGTTAAACTGTCGCTATTTCAACTCACGCGTTTCCTCATTTTTGCTCACAGCGGGGAGGAGGACCGAGCTGCTGGGGGCGCCGAGCCGCCGTGACCCTACCGCACTGAGCCCCCTCGCCGCTGTGAGGGCTCCCACCATCCGCTACAGCGCGCTGAGGCCGCCCCGGGACAGGGCCGAGCCCTCCACAGGCAGGAGACACACCCCGCGTCCCCCGGCTCGGCTCCAGCTCCAGCCCCGGCTCCAGCCCCGGCCCCGGCCATCCTCCACGTGAGGCCGGGCCGGGCCCAGCACAGCCCCGGCCCACCAGCGACCGCCCCGCCAGAGCCCCACCGACCTGCCGGTGCGCCAGGAAAGCCTCCCAGAGGTAGACGGCCCAGGAGAAGAGCAGGACGGAGCAGAAGATGCGGCGCTCAGCCGGCAGCTCTGCCCACAGGTCGCCGGACAGCGCCATGGCCGCTCCACCCGCCGCGCGCTGCGGCGCCGCCTGGCGGCCGGAGGAACCGAGGGCGGCACGGGGCGCAGATTTGGCCCCAGTAACGCTGGGTGAAGACAGCAGGGTGCTGCCGAAATCCAGCACTGAGGACAAGCATGCCATGCAGAGCACAGGGACTGTGTAACCTGACAAAGATGAGGTAAGGGCGGTGTTAACATTGAGGCACTTCTAGATACGGCATTTTAGTATCAGTAATTTATCTAATTTCTACCTGTCTAAAGTATAACAGAACATGTCTGTGGATTTTTAGTCATTAACTTTTAATAAAATAATGCCAACTTAATGTTCTCATTATCTATTAGTTATATATTTTAAACTATATAGAAGAATGACCTGTCAAATATATTGAAGCCCAGCGTTTTCTGTAACCTAATACATCCCTGCAGAAGAACAGGGTAGATGAGGAAGTGCTGCTGGCTCTGCTGAGAGCTCTGCTGGAAAGAGAGAAGTCAGTCTGCAATGTCTGTCATTGTAAAGGTATTTACAGGTTTTTCCTACCCTCGGGACCACGGCAGGGCAGCCCACAACATGTTTTTGTCCTATAAAATCCACACAGTTCAAGACAACAATTAAAAATATGGAAACAACATTCCCTATGAACTGTTTTTGCTGAGGTATCTGCTCTTCACATTAAGAATTCTTTTTTTGGAAAGTCAGTGCAATGGTGTTCCTCTACTGAAGAACAAAATGTTTCTCCCATATGCTTGAAAGCAAGAAGCTGGAAATGTTACATCATTTGTAAGGCAAATTCTGGTAGCACTTGGGAGGGAAAATGATGGCCTACCTCATGGCATGAAAACAGGAATAGACAGTAAAAACTCTTCAAACCTTTACTGTTTTGTGGCCTCCTCCAATACCCATCTGTGCCAGGCAATTAGATTAGATAAAAAAGCCCAATAAGAAATTGGGATGAAGATGTAGATTCAAGCTGTACATTTTTGATGCTGTGACACCTATTACCTCATGGAGACATTAGAGCATTTTGTAGGTGATGGAGTTCAAAGACTGAAACACACTGACAGTCTCTGAAACAGCAAAGATCTAATTTTTGTAATGAGGAAGAAGCTGACCAGTCTGTACTGGTATCTTTGAGCTGAAATATGAACACTCTGTGAGCTCACATTACTGAAAGTCCTGGCAGTGCATGGAGTGCCACATCACCACAGGAAAATGCCTCCAAGCTGCTTTTATACAGCCCAAAGCAACTCAACCATTTTCTAAATGCAGCTCTTGGACTGAGGAATGTTGCAGGACTTGTCTCCATACCTGGCAGAGAGAAATGTCTGTCTGTCTTGTCCTGTGGTATACCCCAGCCTATGGAAAGAACAGGACTGGACAGAAGGACGCTGCAGAACAGGCTCTGTAACACCAGAGGTGCAGTGAGTGCCAGTGAGTGCCAGTCTGGCAGTGTGCACTCTGCACTCTGTGTGGTTTGCAGGCACACAGGAACTCATCTGGCAAAAGCAGAATTGCATCTGAGGAAGCAAGTTTCACATGCAACTTGTTTTGTGGGACATACAGCTGCTTGACTTGAAACTGGTTTCCAAACCTCCAGGAATTTACTACTCATGCTGTGCACAAAGGGACAGGTTCTTCTCTGGGATACTCAAACCCTGAGAGGGTAACAGGGTCTCTATGGCCCAATACCTGAAGCAGCCACCACAAGTCTATTGAGTTTGCTGTTCAACTCTTCTCCTGTTGTGAGATCTTGAAGATTCAAGTATGTTAAAACAGGTCTCAAACTTGAAATTAAAAGGTACTTCATTATATTAGAAAAAGAAATTACTTTGGAGCACACTGAAGGCTGTCTGATGATGTTGCAGTATTTAACCTTTTGACACAGCTTACTTCCATTTTTAGAACTTTGTGAGAAGATTGATGCATCATCTTTCTTTCATTAAAAGAAGCTTTATAGTTCAGTTGACACAGCTTACTTCCATTTTTAGAACTTTGTGAGAAGACTGATGCACCATATTTCTTTCATTAAAAGAAACTTATAGTTTAAAGAGGAAATTACATTAAAGGCTAGGCAGTAAGCTACACTTCTCTTGCTTAGTGTATGATTTTTAACCTAACTTTTAAGGATGCCCAAATAACTTTATTTTCCTAACTGTGGTACAAAGATGCCATTTCAGCTACACTTCTCTTGCTTAGTGTATGATTTTTAACCTAACTTTTAAGGATGCCCAAATAACTTTATTTTCCTAACTGTAGTACAAAGATGCCTCATTTTGGTCATACCACAGTTCACTAGACAGTTTGACAGCTGCCATCATTTCTGCACCCAATCAATATCCATACTCTGTTTTAAACATTTCCCAAAGTTTTTTCCATTCCCTTTCCACTGCTGCTTTTTAGATCACAGTATAAAACTGTGATTTTAGAAGTCCCAACAACACCCAAACCCTCAGACAGTCAGAAGCTGCGATCTGTTTTAAACATTTCCCAAAGTTTTTTCCATTCCCTTTCCACTGCTGCTTTTTAGATCACAGTATAAAAGTGTGATTTTAGAGACAGTCAGAAGCTGCGATTGCTGCTTGCTCATTGGAATCCCCATGGAGATGGGGAAATACTCCCTAGAGGACAGTGATTGTGGGCCTTGTGATGTAGCCATGTGTGGTAAGAAATGCAATACAGAACAAGAAACAGAGCTTAAAATGTTAGCTGACTCTTCTGCTGAATCTTCCAGCTGGTGTCATAGCCTGCTGTGTTCTGTTTCCAGGTCACATCTCACAGTAACCATTTTGGAAATACACCTTTCATGGGGGCACTGGCATTGTGCCAGGGTCAAACCATGACACGAGCTGTCATTCATTGTCCAAAAAGCTACCCAGGGAACTCTAGATGGATACTGGTACTTTCATGTGACACAACCTGCTTGGAAGTCTGGCAACACTCATCACACACTCAGGTGGTGCCAGACAGTCTCAGGAAACACCCTCTGCCTTTAAAGAACAAAGACCTTCTCAAGCATAACTGTAATTAGTAACCCTGTACTAATTATAGTTCTTTCAAGTCTGAAAAAAGCACAGAGAATGTTGTAAAATAAAATGTAATACTTTACTTTTCTGTATCTATTTTATCAGTCTGATAAATTATCTACAAATGCATAAAACTTAAGCAACACTGTCCAATGCATTCAGAATGGTCCCAAACTCAATTACAAGTAAAGCACATTAAAGATTTACTGTACAGTAAACAAATGGGTGAAAAACTGTAATTTATTGAAACTCATAACTCAAAAAATATAAGATGCTGTAGTGTACAATATGTTACACAAAGCACCCTGGGGTGCACATTCAAGTCAAGTAATAACTCCATCGCCCCCCAAACCCTGGTACCCCAGTACTTGTTCCATATACAATCATGCACATTTACTCAAGAGGAAGCCCCCAGTATTCTGATGTGTTAAATAGCACCAAAATCAGCATTGTTCATTGAAAAAAATGGGGAGCTAAATTAACTTGGCCATTACTTTTGACAGATATTATACATTCATGGAATTAAACAGTCAAAACTAACCTAAAAAGTGTGTACTGTAACAATTACTGTTCTAATTTGAAGTTCTCCCCGTACAGCAGTAGTGGAGGCTATCTGCTCTAAGCAAAGCTACTTATGTACTTCCTACACACAGCTCATCTGCCTTTTTTGTTGGAAATAAATCTATGAGAGGTGTGGAAAACTTGGATCTTTCAAGAACTACGACTGGTCGTAAGTAATGCAGCTGTTTTAAGGCAAGGTCTCCACAGTCCGTTAGGGCCTTGTCCAAGATTGCCCTCAGGTTTTCTAAAGAAGGGGCAGATGAGGACTCTGACAGCAAGGGCTGGATCTCTGTTAGCTGCCCAGGATTATTTGGGGTTATGATTACATTTTCATCACTTACAAAGTTGTTTACTGGTGTATCCCCTTGACTGTCTCCCTCTTTTTGCAACGTCTCATCTACTGGCAACTGCTCAGGAGACTCCCATTCTACGACCTCATCACAATCATCATCATCATCATCATCTTTTCCCTCACTTTCCTGAATAAATTTTAAAAATGAAGACTCAAACCCCATTGGTTTATATGTCTTTAAATCAAATGGTTTGGACACAGGAGGCTTTTGAAATTTGTCTTTTGTAGCACAAAGAACATTTCTTTTTGCATTCTGATTAACCGCACTATGTTGACATCCTTCTGGGTCTTTCTCTCTTGGCAACTCTAACTGTAAACTGCACAAAGAAGAGCTATTTTCTCTTTCACTGCTTTCAGAAAGATCTTCAGTTTTACACACAGCTGTCTCCCTGGTGTTAGGCTCTTCAAAACAGGTGCTCTTTGAACTGTGGTTGTATTTTAAAGTGCCTGAATACACAAAGGCACTGGCATCACAACTCGCACTACTCGGTGAACGTTGTTTTTGGTCATCATTACTCGCATCAGGAGGATCACATGCAGGGTTTGGAACAAGGGGTTTGTCACTTTCCTGCACAGGCTCAGAATTAGCTGATTGATCCTCATTAACTTCTACACCTTTTTTATCCAAGTCTGAAGCTGTGTCAGAGCAAGACTGCTTTTCAATCATGATGCCACATTTGACACAAAGGACGAGTTTCTGAAGGCGCTGCTCGATGTACATGTTGGTCATCTGGTGCGTGCGCTTGTAGTGCCTCACGATGCTGCTTTCCAGTTTGACCACAGACAGGCACCCCTGCACCATGCACGGGTACTGCGTCTGGTTAGACTTCTCTTTGCACATTTGTAGGGCTTCCTCTTTTGTTTTGAAACTCAGCAAATGCTTTTCCCTGCTTCTGTTAATTCTTTTAGCTTTTTCTTTTAATTGCTTCCCATTCTGCTTGCTTGTGCCAAAGCTGTCTTTCAAACAATTTTGCTCACTTTTATCTCTATCTTCATCATCTTCCTCCTCTTTCTGATTTCCAAAGAGACTATCATAATATTCACTGTGTCTGAAATATACATGTTGAGAATAGTGACTGTAATTTGTGAAAATTCGATTGCAGCCATTAAGGTCACAATGGATTTCAAAATCTTTGTTTAATTTTTCTTCATTGGCATGTTCTTCTATTAGGTGTTGTTTAAGCTTATTAAATGTATAAAATACAGCATGGCAGTGGGCTTGGTTACAAGCAAATCTGGCAGACTCAGCTTCAGAAAGCAGTTTTTGATCCTCTAAGATTTCATTGTGGAAGTCACTACAATGTTTAGCAAGAGCTTTAGAACACAGAAAACGCTTACCACACTCTTTGTGTTTGCATGCAAATATTTTTTTACATTTGACAAGTTCCCTTTTTGTTCTTGCTTTGTCTTTTTCTAAGCAGAGCTGCTCCTTGTTATACTGGTGAACAGTTCTGTAATGGCGAATCAAACCTTTCTGGTTTGTGAATGCTGAGTTGCAGCTTTTATGTATACAATGAAATGGTTTGTGGTACTTATGCAATATGTAACATAAGTTTCCTTTAGCAACTGTTCTTTTGCTTCCTCTTCCCTGTCTTGCTTCCAGTTCTTCCCTATGACTGTCCAGAGAAGTTATGTTAGATGTTTTTCTTGTTACATCATTGTCTGTCTCTTCATTGGACTCCAAATCAGTCTCAGAACAGCAGTCTTCCTTTTTTGGGTGACACAGCTGTTCGGAGTCCGAATGTCCAGAGAACCCAACGCTGTTTGCACAGGCAGGCACTGGAGCAGTGCTATTCTTATGCATGTCCTCTGTACACAAACCTACATGATCAAATTTTTCACCAGGACATGCCTTGTGAGCCACCCTCTGACAGCCAATTTGATGTTTGTTTCTATAGTGAATTCGAAGATGTGTTTTTCTTGTAAATGATCTTTGGCAAATATGACACTTAAATGGTGAATACCGATGCTGGAACATATTGAGCTGAAGAACCATTTCCTTTGAATAGTTATGCTTTTTAACATAATGCATTAAGAGAGCTTCTCTGGTCACAAACTCACATGTACATCCGTGACATTCACAGAAAAATGGTTTAGCTGCCAGTTGAGTAAGGTACTGGCTGGGTAAATTATCTTCTTGCTCTTGAAGGTGAAATTTTGAGGTAGCTTCATCAACTGACTCAGGGCACTTGGCATCCCTAGATGAATAGCCCAGAAAAGACTTTTGTCTTGAAGAATTCTGAATGTTATTTTTTAAGCTTAGATGTTTCAAGCCTAACATTAGTTCCAACATGTTATCTTCAATATCTAGTTCTTTAGAGCTGTCATAAAAAGATGTTTCTGGGGAAGAAGGACAAGTCTCTTCCCTCAGGCCACTGCTTCCTTTAGAATCTACAGCACAACACACACTTTCTGGAGAGTCAGCATTTGTATCAGAATTATGACCTAACTCTGGACTCATATCTGTAGGGGATTTACTGTCCTGAGCATCACTCAACAGATCGAGAAAGTATTTAGTTTTCATTTCCATATTTCTTTTACCTTTAAAGTTGTATGGATGGACCCTTCGAAGGTGCTTTTGCATACTTCTGGAATTTTTGTGGGTGGAACAGCAGCCTTCAAAACCACAGGAAAGATTTTTTTCATCAAAGCAAACTGCCACATTGGAGCACTGTTGTTTCATATTTGCTGGATGGAAGACTCCTTCCTGGGACACGACAAAACCTGGAACTGACTGGTTGTGAGCCACTGCTCCAAGCAGCTGTGGAGATGTCTGACCTTGGCTTGCTGCAGCATCTGCCGTGTGCTTCCCACAAAGCAGGCTGCAATTACTTTCACTGTTGAGATCTTCACTGTCAGAGAGAGATTCTTCCTTCACCTGTGGAATTTCCTGAGAGCCTGAGGGATCCAAGTTATCATTCAGATTGGAATTTTCAGATTGTTCAAGCAGCTGAGACTCTGGAAGATAACTGGATTTTTCTTCTGAAACCAACCCTTCAAGGTTCAGCGTTTGCTTCCCTTCCCCATTTGACACTTTAATATCATGTGCTGCAAGGTGATTCTGAAATTCAGTCTTTGAATAATAAAACTTTTTGCAACCAAAGTAATTACAAGTGTACGACGCATCCCTGAAGTGCTGCGCCTCGTGATGGTAAAGCTGCCCCAAGTCACTGAAAACAATATTACAGCCATTTAGCTCACACTTATAGCGAAGATCGTCGTGGGTCTGTTTGTGGTTGAGCAGCTCGTTGACCGAGCCGAACCTGGCGTAGCAGTCCATGGACACACACATGTAGGGCTGGGGCCCGCAGTGCACGCGCTCGTGCTCCCGCAGGTGGAAGGAGGTCATGAAGTGCCGGCGGCAGAACGCGCACTTCTCCCTCCTGTTCTTCATGTCCAGGTAGTGTTTTGCATTCTCGTCGTTGTTTTGATGTTCAGCTTTCAGATGGACACTTAAGTACTTAAACTGTTTAAATACTCTGGAACAATCTGTCCCAGGACAGGGGTAGATGTCTCTGTCTTGCAGCTGGCAATTTTCCAGTTGGCTGAATGTGACATATTCCTCTGTGTCATCCTCAAAGCTTTCAGGGAGCTGTGCCTGGTGTGACCTTTCTGGAAACACTGGGGGTGGGCTGCTGGAAGCTGTTGCCTTTTGTGGTGATCTCTCTTTTTTCAGAATTATTTTCTTTTTAGGTCTGTGTGTTCTGCTAGGTGGCATTTTAACATGTTCCATTACATGTGGTACAAAAAATTCCTTTCTCTTGAACTTTTTTGTGCAAACAGGACATGTATAAATACCATCTTCCATGTGCATCTTAGAATGATGCAGTATTCTGGCCTCTATACACTCCCTTTTGCAGAGCACACAAAAAAACTTGTATTGAAGCCATCTCTGGTATCTTTCTGAAGAACCAATTGGTTTTTTTACTCTTGCTTTTTCCTTAGGGTGGCTCATCGTGTCTTTCCCATCATAATACTTGTGTTCTTTTGTCTCATCATAGTCACTGAAGAAAGTTTCTAACATGTCAGTTTCATTGAGTGACATATGGCAGCCTGCATCATCCTCAGAATCAGAAGCTACCTTCCCTAACAGTTTAAGACAATGCCTCTTCAAAGTCTTCCAGTCCCAAAATTCAGGGTCAAATGGCCAATATGCTTTCAAAGCTAACAGCAGTTCACAGCGGAGTGAATTTGGAACCAGTGCGTTTTCTTCATCAAATTTTTGGTCTGGCTGCATATAGAGCTCTTCCAAGGCATTAAATCCACTCAAAGTTGGCTCAAGTAAGAATTCTGTGAGCTGACAGGCTCTTCTAACTTCAAGGTCTTCTGGTAAAAGGCAAGCAATTGTTTTGCACACTGATGTCTTCATTTCATCGCTTCCGTTGGACCTGATCTGAAGGGCTCTCACACACAACAACACAGACACAGCAAGTCCTGCTTCCTCTGCCTGTTGAAAGAAAACAGAAGATTTTTATTAGTATGTTCTTAGGGATAATCAGAAACTATGAATAATGAAATAAGCTATATTTTTTTTCAGTTCAATAGAATTATTAAGAAAACAATAAATTAATGTAGACAGCTCTAGCTGTGCCCAAAGACTCAGGACTGTTACTTACTTCAGATTGTATGACTCTTATCAAGAAAAATAGATGCTGTAGTGTCTTGGCAATGATGCCAAACTGACGACATCTCTCCAAAAAGGAATCTAAGGAAGGATCTATTCTTCTCTGCAGTTTGCTCCAGAAAAGTGTCAGTTCCCTGCGAAGAGTTGAAAGCAGAATGTAACAACATTGCAGATACACACAATCTGTGCAGTCACAGTGTGTCGGTTCAGAGCTGATGCCAAGAAAAATGTATGTGTTATTCAAGGACAGCACACACTTCAATTAGGTCCTGATCTCCGAGTGACACTGAAGAGAACTGCTCCTGTGCCCCAGTCCAGCCCCAGATCAAACCCCAGTGTATCCCCTGACCCTTACAGGGGAAAGACACTGGCACTGGGATTCATCTCACTTAATGCACACATCTATAGCTGCAGACTTCCTTTCTAGACAAAAAAAAACCCCAGTCCCACACTTCCAGAGTCTTTACCTCTCATGCAGAAATTTAAAATGGGTAAGATGAATCATAACAGAAAGTTGCCACTTCTCTTCCAATAAGCAAGCAGATGTACAAGGACTGCTAGGTACACTACTAGAACTTCAAATGATACACCTCTGCAATGTCAGCATTGCCATTAGACACAAGACTTCATTCTCCCATCTCATCCCCAGGGAAGGCACCTGGAACTTGAGAATTCTTGGGGTTACAGAAATTATAAAAATATAAAAAGGCTCTTGGAGGGGAAGTGGAGAGAAGCAATGGGGTGTTGCTTCTGCTCATTCCTAATACTGACATCTCTCTGGAACAGGTCCAAAAAATGCACCAGACTTTCATGGGGCCAAGTATTCCCAAGGGAAGAACAGACTGACAACAAACTCTGTGGAACCACAAAGCCAGGGGTTTACTAGCAACCCACAAGACTTCATTCTCCCATCTCATCCCCAGGGAAGGCACCTGGAACTTGAGAATTCTTGGGGTTACAGAAATTATAAAAATATAAAAAGGCTCTTGGAGGGGAAGTGGAGAGAAGCAATGGGGTGTTGCTTCTGCTCATTCCTAATACTGACATCTCTCTGGAACAGGTCCAAAAAATGCACCAGACTTTCATGGGGCCAAGTATTCCCAAGGGAAGAACAGACTGACAACAAACTCTGTGGAACCACAAAGCCAGCAACGCTGCTCTAGCAACGCTGAGAGCACTGACCCACCACCACTGACACATCTGTTACCCCACAGAAGTGTTCATGCCAATAGTGTGAGTGCTATTTCAGTTTTAAATTGCTTAAACATTACTTTTCTCTAACTGCTCTATCAGCATAGCAACTTGTGACAAAATAAGTAATTCTCTAGGAAGAGCTTCAGTCTGATGCACTTCTCAAGTACAGGGTAAATCCACCTTCTCTACATATTTTTGTACTATATTCACTCAATTCTAGCTAGTGAGAAACAGTTAGCAGAAGCAGCTTGTACTTACCAAGAGCAATACACATTTGCTGTTTGAAGCTGATGGGTAAGATATGTTGTACAAAGAATAAATGCAGTATTTTCTTGTCCCTCAGATTCCAGATTACATATGATGTCTAGTACCTCTTTGCAATCCACCTTTGCAATCTTAAAGAAAATTAAAAAGAAAAGGCACTTTATTCACAGTATATTTACAAAAGAAATGCACATTTACTGTATCAAAGTCTCACAAACAAAACATTGTCTCCCATACCCCAAGATCATGCCACACCTTTCAGCTACAAAATGGTATGAGAAGTTCACCTGTTAGTTCTGAGCCCTTCTCAGTATTCGTTTTCTTTGGGACAACCTTCCACTTTGGGCAGCTTAGCTAAAGATTTGCATGCAGGCAACCATCTACCTAAAACTTCCCATTCCGTCTCTCTGCACTTACAGGGATTCCTGTGTTACCTTTGAAAATTAGAAGCCAGGTCCAAAAAGATCAAGAGCTGTGAACAAGCCAGGCTCTTGCTCTCTTCATCCCTAGGTGCTCACTCTGAACAACCACATTTCAAAACATGATGATAGAAACAGAAGCGTTTAGAGTAGTGTGCTGATTTTGGCTGGGGAAGAGTTAATTTTCTTCCTCGTGGCTTTGGGATTTCTGCTGGACACAGGGTTGATGACACAGAGATGTTTTTGTCATTGCTGAGCAGCACTCACACAGAGCAAAGGAAGCTGGGAGTGCACAGGAGGCTGGAAGGAGACACAGCCAGGCCAGGTGACCCCAGCTGACCAAAGGGATATTCCAGACCATGACATGGCCACTCCATACAGCAAGGGAAGGAGGAGGAAGGGGAGCATGTTGAGAGTTGGCATTTGTCTTCTCAAGCCTCCATTATGCACAATTGTGCCTTGTTCTTCTGGAGGTGCCTGCTCGTGGGTAGAACTGAATTAATTCCTGGTTTTGCTTTGCTTTTGTGCATGGCTTTTGCTTCACCTTTTATATTGTCTTTACCTCTACCTGCAAGTTTTCTCACTTTTACCCTTCCACTTCTGTTCCTGGTATCACTGGTAGGGGAGTTGAGCAAGCAGCTATGAGGGGATTTGGTCTAGCTAGGGTTAAACCACGACAAGGAGACAAATCCCAAGGAGGTTCTGCAATGTCTACTTAAAGAAGAACATATCTGTGTATCAAACCAGGGTGTCAGCTTGGATATAAGCCACAAAGTAATTATGAAGAGCATTTACTAAGACAACACTAGATTTTAATACATTTTTCCACTGGATCTATTCAGCTTCACAGAACAGACTGTGTTCTAGCAATATGTACTTTAAACAGCTGTTGATATTATAAACATTTCAAACTTCTTGCTCATCATGAAAAACAACGACAGAGAACAAACAACAGGAAGTTAAACTGATTTTTGCAGACATCTCATTCAGCAGGAAGAGCAGAAGCAGGGATATTAACCCAGTTTCCCATTCAGGCTTGACATGAGTTCATTCAGCAATGCCAGCACTTTCTAGGGTCCACTGACTTTTGGTGTTCAGCTTGAGACCCAGAACTGACCTCTTGCAGAAGACATTTCCAGAGCAATTCACAAGCTGCAAGGCCTTGCAGATGTGTCAGTTTTGCATTTGATAAAGTAAAATACAGCAGATTTTGGGGGGAAGGAAGGAAGTATTAAAAAGGGACTATAGGTTACTAACCTCCTTAATGGAGTCTTCATTAGGCAGCATTGAACACACACATGTGATGTAGGCTTGGCGAAAAGATGAAACATTTGCAATTTCTGGAGAATCTGCACACAATTTTGACAAGAAGGTGGCTTGGGGGATGCAGTTTGACTTCATCAAATGTTTTATTCGCATCTGCAGAAAGGAAGGCCCTTCTCGTGTAATCAATTTATTAGCTAGGAAAAGAAAAAATCCTTTGAGAACAGACCAATTTACAGGTGACACCTAAATGAAATTGTCTCACTGCATTTACACTTCTTCACCAATGTGTGCAGTGAATGTGTTTTTAGGAAACTCTAGGCATGGTGACAAGTGACAGCAATGGACTCTTCTCCCAAACGCAGCAGGAAGAGAATGTTGGGCTACAGAAAACAGACCCCACACAGCCACCCCCCACCATGGCCCCCAAAAGGCAGCACCATTAAAGATGTATGTCCTTGAGCAGTGGCTAAAGGACACTGATCACACCAGACAGATACCAGCAGTTTAACTGAGGCTCAGAATCATCACCTTTCAACTGCAGCTTTATATTCCAAAAATAAAAAAATATTTTAAGTCATTCATTACATGCTTTTCAACTGGAAAATTTTCCACCCAAGCTGTTAAAACTCCATGTAATGCCAAAATATGTAAAATGAAGTTGAGGGTAAAAATATTATCTTTGTGAACTTTTGAAAAATTGTGCTAAAGACATTCTAGGCTTATGCTCTTAAACAAGCAAATATTACTAATCACGATGAGACTTGATGAACAAATTCAGTAATAAAAATTCAGATTATTTTTGTAAATAGCAAGCAAAATTTATTTATTTGGATTAAATACCTCACAGATTTAGTTCCGTGCTCTTCCCAGGTGTTTATCATAAAAACAGAATTCAGTTGGAAGGGACCTGCAAGTCCTGCTCCTCAAAGCACTACCTCAAATTAAACTGTATGAGTAAGAGCATTGGCCAAATGCTCCCCGAACTCTGGCAGGTTTGGTGCTGTGACTTTTCTGGGGAGCTTGTTCCAGTATCCAACCACCCTTGGGGTAAAGAACATTTTCCTCATGTCTAACCTGTGCTTACCCTGACAGCTTCATTCCATGTCCTCCTGTCCTGCTGCTGGTCACCAGACACAGGAGAGCAGCACCTCCTCCTCCTCACAGCCTTCCTGAGGAAGGTGCAGACTGTGATGGGGTCACCCTTGAGCATTCTCTTCTCCAGGCTCAACAAGCCAAGAGACCTCAGCTGCTGCTCGTAAGGAGGAGCCTGAAGGCCTCCCCCCACCTTGGCCACAATCCAGTAGCCTGATGTCCTTTCTGTACTGAAGCACCCAAAACTGCTCAACCCAAAGCAGGACTCAAGGTGAAGCCACCTGAGCACAGAAGAGCTGGACAGTCCCCTCCCCTGGACTGGCTGTGCCTGCTGCACCCCAGGACACATTTGGCCCCTCTGGCTGCCAGGGCACATTACTCATACTCAAGTGGCCATCAACCCAAACCCTCCAGATCTCTTCCACAGGGCTCCATCTCTGAGTTTGTCCATGTAACCAGGATTACCATGTCCCAGGTGGAGAATTCATTGCTTACTCTTGTTAAAGTTCATAAGGTTGGTGACTGCCCAGCTCCCTGGATCACTCTATAAAGCCTCTGCTCTCAAAGGAGATCACAGATCCTAACACAGCAACATCAGCACATTTATTTCATGTACATTCAACTTCCACATAACATAATTTATGAAGACATTAAGGAAACCCCACCACTGACTGCTCACCAGCCTGACAATCTCATTTACTGTAACTCTTTGCACCTGACCTATCAGCTCACTCTTCACTATGGATTTATCAAGCTGTGTCCTGGACATTTAATCCAGGGATGCTGTGAGACAGCATCAAAAGCTTTGATTAAGTACATGTACTTGGTTTGATACTGGCCAAATACCAGGCACCCACAAAAGTCACTCACTCACTCCCCTGCTACAGCTGGGTAGAGGAGAGGAAAATTTAATGAGGAGAGAAAAATTTAGTGAAGGCTTCATGAGTTGAGATAAGAACCAAGAGAAAACATTCATGGGCAAAACAAGCCCAAGGTAGCACTACAAAGTGAGTTTAATTACTAACAAAATCAGAGGAGGATGAGAAGTAAAATAAGCCCTCAAAACCACCTTTTCTTCCTCCAACCCCTCCCTCCTTCCCACTGTCAGTGCAGGGAGATGGGTTTTTTGGTCAGCTCATCACCCAAGGTTTTTCTTCTGTTGCTGAAGGAGAACAGTCCTTCCCCTGTGACACTGTGGGATCCCTCCGACAGGAGACACTTCTCCCAAAACTGCTGCAGCAGTGGGTCACTCTTCCATGGGCTGCAGTCCTGCAAGGACAGGCTGCTCCAGCCTGGGAGCAGGGCCCCGTCTCTCCACTGGATCACAGCTCACAGCCTCCTCCAGGCACCCACCCCTCCAGCAGGGGCACCTCCCCTCGGGCTGTGGGTGGATCTCTGCATCCCCCATGGATCCCCAGGGGCTGTGGGTGCATCTCTGCATCCCCTGTGGGTGGATCTCTGCCTCCCCCATGGACTTCATGGGTTACAGGGGCACCATGTTTCACCATGGTCTCACCACAGCCTGCAGAGGAATCTCAGCTCTGGCATCTGGAGCACCTCCTCCCCCCTTCCTTCTCCACTGACCTTGGTGTTTCCATGTTGCTTCCCTCACATGTTCTCACCTTCTCCTCTTCTCTAGCTAGAATTCAAATTGCTCCCCTTTTTTTTTTTTTTTCTTAAATCTGTTATCACAGAGGCCTTACCATCATTTCTAATTGGCCCAGCCTTGGCCAGCAGCATGTCCAGCTTCAGAGCCATCAGGGACTGGCTCTGCTGGACACGGTGGAAGCTTCCAGCAGCTTCTCACAGAAGCCACCTCCATGCCCCCCCACTACCAAAAATCAGGCTGTGCAAAACCAACATGATGAAATCATATGCTTCAAAATATCTGTGGTGCTATTTCCAGCTTAACATAAATATCTTCACAAAGCCTTGATATGAGTCTCCAGATCTGTACATCATTCAAAGGACTCTTTGAATTAAGAGATGGTTCAACACATGCTTACACTACATGCAGTAATGCATATGAACCAAGGAAAAAACTGGCTGATGAACTGTACAAGAAATCATGGAAATGCATGAGACATTCTGATAAAACACTAGAATGGTGTTCTGCAGCAACTGTAATCAGCCAGTTACCTCTGGTGCCTGCAAGAGACGCTGGATTAGTCAAAAAAGAATGTTTGCTTTAGACTGACAACTTAAGAAAATATTTATACTCAACAGCTCTTCCATTGCATTAGCATCTTATTATTACTATGTAAGGTGAGTAGTTAAGAAACCAGTGGTATGGCACATTTCTAAAAGAGAGGATGGCACATAACAAGAAAGTTTTCCTGCTTTCTGCACTTAAAATATTGCCCAAACAAGCAACAGTGTTTTCTAACAGACACTACCCTTGTTGGGAGAAAACTCACAATGTACACCTGAACAGAAAACTCATTTCAGGTGCCAGGTACATATCACATACCTGTAGTGGAGCTTACTTGTATTCTGCAGGAGTCAGCTTAGTGGTCCATTAGAGAATCATTTTAAGATTTAAATCTATGGTAAAGGTTTCTGTTTTTCACAGGAAAAACCTCTGAGCATTAAACTCTTGATCCAGCTGACACTTCACATTAAAGGAACTTCAATGAATAAAGCAGAAAGAACTGCCTGACCAAGAGGCAGCCTGCAGTAAGATCTCCAGTTGCTAGGAAACAAGCCTCCTCTCTTCCTTAAAAATTGCATCTGTATGACACTGTGCTTGACTACTCATCGAGGAAAGCTAACAGTGCTTCAATATGGGTATTTGATGTAAGAGACTGCTACCACAACAGATGGCCAGGAGATCACTGTTGAGGGAGAACTCCCACAAAGCTGGCTTACCCATTATCAGCTCAGCCACCTCTTCAAGTGGAACTGCTATTCATGGGCCTAGCAGGAATTTAGTGCCCACAAGCAATTCAAAACAATTCTCTAAGTCCCTATTCCTACACCTCTTGGCTCACAGAATACTTCTTTTTTTTCAGGTCCATAAGAGGAATAAAGGACATACTAGAAACAAAACAAAACAAAACTCTTTATCTCCTCTAAGAATTCTAAAGATTTCCTCTTGTTTACACAGCTAGACACGCACTTGGCAACTGCTTAAATGAAGTTTTACTAAAGTGTCAGAGCCAGCTAGTCAAGACATGGGAGGTATTTTAAGACTACTTGCAGTCAGTGAAATGAAACACTTTCAGTTTAACAGTTACATTTTTATCTTCCAGAACAAATGAGACAAACTCCGATGGAGGTGGATGCCCTGCCAGTGTGCACAAGAGGGTCTCAGCTTGCTGCAGTCTTTGAGAGTAGTCAGTAAGCAAATGCTCCCCGAGGGTGGCAGGTCTGTGCCCTCGGGCCAATTCTTTCACACCTAAACGAGTGTGTAGTGAGCTTTGCAAAGGAGGCAAACGACAAACTGAGCTCTTCTGTCATGCAGATGTAGGTGATGATGGTAGGAGCAAAATGCAGAAATGACTCACTAGTCAGACATCTGTCTTAGCTCTTAGCTTTACTCAAAAGTGGAAAGTTTCCTCTTCCTGAAAAAGGAACAAAAACCGAGGAATAGACAGCAAAATGAGAAGAGTTGTTTTCCTTCAGAGAACCTAATTTTGTACTCAGACCCAAATTTGTTACATTTCCATACATGTCCATGAACAGACTTTCTTGTTCCTTCTCTTCCTAGCTCTCCTGCTGTTATGTGTTCTGTCACAGTGTTCTATCAAGCTTCTCAAGACTAAAACAACTTGCTATAAAAAATCAGCACAGACATCCTGCAAGCCTTCCCTTCCAAACCCTTTAGCCAAAAGGGCAGTGCAGTTTCCAACTCTATACATATCTTAAGAGCTCTCTTAAGCCAGGACCAAAAAGTCCATAAGAGATTCCTCTCTTACCCAAAACACTTGCAGTGAAAGATAACTTAAGTTACACCACAATATTATGAATACAACCTTTACAAAGCATGGATGGCACTAGGGCATGAAAAGACTCTGTGATTACTACGATGAACATTCCAGGGAAACAGCACCCTCTTGGGTGAGTATTTCTGCTGAAAGTCCCTGTGGAAAAGGACAAAGGGACAGGTGCTGATGTGCAGTAAGGTATGTTAAGTATGCACAACTGGCACCGAGGTCTGTGTGTTATACAGCAGCAGTTGTTGCATGGTTATCCCAGCTGTCCTACAAACCAACTCTCATCAAGACAGACATAGCGAGTTGTTGGCATTCATCTGCTGCACTCAAGCTGACCCCAACCTCCTTGGTTCAGGGTTTGTTAAGACAAAAGTGGGGGAGAAGTCTTGGTATCCGTATTAAAGCTAAGTGCCTGAGGCACAGAACTACATGGGATGTCACAACTATGGTCCCACCAGAATGCTGGTATTGTTTAGTCACCTAAAAGGCCTAAGTTGAAATTATTTTTTTAAAGCCCATTCCTGAAGCAAATGTTAATGCCCCAACCAACCATCCTCAGCCAGCTGACAGTAAAAATTAGGAATCACCAGCCTAGCACATGGCAGTGCAATTTATTAACAGCCATAGAAGCAGCAGACAGAACCCAATGCAATCTGCTATGAAACTTGCTGTAACAAATTTGGCAACCCACATTTATATTTGATGTCAGTTCCCTTTCCAGGCCAGTGCATTAAAAAACAGAATTAAAATGAAGAACTCTAAACAAGAAAGGCAGGAACCTGACACACCTTCAGGACTGTTCACTCAACTAAGCATCTGATGATCATTACCACGAACTACCAGTTCACAAAACACAGCTTCAGCAAGGCACACTGAGCTACTCTCACATCTGGACTAGGAATGCTTTTCAGGAACTCATCACAAAACCCCAAAAAGCACGAAATACAAACCATTCAGAGAAACTAAGCTTTAGATGACTGAAAAAGACACTTTGAGAAGCTGCTGTTGTACTGAAGGTTAAAATGGCAGCTTAACTAAGGCAACTGAAAATCCATTGCACTGGAGCTCCTTCTGCAGCCCTTACTCCCAAGTCTAAAAGCAGAGTTGCCATCCCTTCTGGGACCTGTAGGAAGTACACTTTGATTCCTATTTCTATCAAATGGAGCCTGCTAGCACAGAACATCATAGAGATCAAAGAAGTGACACAAGTGAAAGAAGGAAGACAAACCTTGTAACTCATCAGTGACTTACAGTCTATTACAGAAATTAGCATTTACTTGATATGATTCTGAAGGTAACAAATGATTAAGTTAATTTAGTAGACATCTACAGATAGTTGCTTAACACCAACTCCAACCATGCCCTACACAAGGCCAAGAGACTAATTGCAGCTGCTCAGACAGAGCAAGCAGAAAAACAATCCAAGGTTTTCAAGATTGCCACAAATGCAAGACACATGGTAGAAGCAACATTTTAGGCAGGTATTCAACTTCTCAGAAGTACCCTTTACTTAAAAAGTCTAATGCTTTACTGGAGAAATGTGCTTTTGCCAGATTTGTCTAATACAGACTCCCGAGTCACATTCAGACTGTTTAGGTGTGCCTGTGGAGTATCCCAGGCTACCTAAAGATGCACGTGTGCAGAAGAGCTCCAATGAACATCACAGAACCACAGAATTAACTATACTGGAAAAGACCCTTGAGACCATCAAGTCCATGCCCTAACACCTCCTCATCAACTAAAGCATGGCACTGAGTGCCACATCCAGTCTGTTTTTAAACACCTCCAGGACCGTGACTCCACCGCCTCCCTGGGCAGACCATCCCAGTGCCCAATCATTGTTTCAGTGAAAATTTTTTTCCGAATGTCCAGCCTGCAATTCCCCTGATGCAGTTTAAGACTGTGGCCTCTTGGCCTGGGAGAACAGGCTGACTCCCACCTGACTACACCCTCCTTTCAGGTAGCTGTGGACAGTGAAAAGGTCCCCCCAGAGCCTCCTTTTCTGCAGGTGAAACAACCCCAGCTCCATCAGGCACTCCTCCTTGTTGCCCTCCTGTGGACATGTCTGAAGATCACAATGTCCCTCCTGAACTGAGGGCCCACAATGGACACAGCCCTCAAGGTGCAGCCCGAGCACAGGGGCAGCAGCACTGCCCAGCTCCTGCTGGCCACACCACTCCTGGGCCAGGCCAGCTGCCAGTGGCCTTCCTGGGCACGCTGCTGGCTCGTGTCCAGCTGCTGTCCAGCAGCACCCAGGTCCCGCTGTGCCTGGCCACTGTCCCCAGGCTGCAGTGCTGCAGGGGAGTGCTGTGGCCAAAGTGTAGAGCTTCTCAGAGAGTGTTTTTGAATGCAATCACTTTTATAAACTGTTGGTATTGTTGCTGTCACTGTTCAATTTCTTATCTCATTGCTGTTTACAAGTAAATTGTTCTTATCTCAACTCGGCCTTTGTCTCCCTCTCACCAGAGGGGGAGGGGGAAAAGGGAGCAGCTGAGTGAGGTTAAATGTTTCCAGCTGAGTTTAAACCACAACAGTTCAAATGCTTCTGCCATGCTATTAATACCTGACATGAAGGCTAGGGAAGACTCCAGTCCAAACTGGCTGCTCTTTTTTTAGCACAAGGAGCAACATATTGTCTCAATAAATGTAATATGTTTCTATTTATTTATTAAAATACTGACATACTTCAACTCAAAGAGAGGCTACCCAAAGCCAGAACAAAGGATTCTGCTATAGAAGAACACTTAAAATACCTTTTTTTTTTCTCCTTAATTTTTAAGACTTTATTTTAAACTCTTATTCCCTTCTGTATTAATTTAAACTTTAGACTACCAGAGGTAAACTGCAGTCTAGTGCACTGTTAATAAAACAGATAAAATACCTACAAGTACTTAATGGCACCACTAATGGGAAAAAATTCAGAATAAAGGAAGAATTTACTAGAAGACATTAGAACGACTATATTACATAAAGTGACACTAGCACCTCCTGTTCCTCACCTCTCAGCAGTTTCTGATTTCCACAGCCTAAACACAAAGTGCCTCCCCACCTAGAGTTAATAACACTCCACACTGCCCTTCCACATGAATCTTTTATGCCTCTGAAAAGTATGGACATACTCAATTCCTCCCTGTGAAGAGTTCAGGGAAACATTTAAAAGCACAGAGTAATGAGAAACAAAGCACATCAGGAAGAAAAATTTCTGTATTTTTATGATCAAAAAAGAAATAATGATTTTTTAAAATGGAGTTTCAAAATATTCAAACTCATGGATAGTACAGTCCAAGCAGAGATGCATTGGTTGGACAATTGGGCACATTATTCAAAATGCCAGTGAGACAGTTTCATAATAAATTTATTTAGCAACATATGAATACTACCCCACAATACAATTTAAAATGCAACTCTTCTGTCTTCAAGTCACTGCTTACCCACCAAAACTGCCCCAAGTAATTTCTGAACAACCACACATCATCTCTAAAAACACACTCTTACCTTCCTCAGTTTCTACTGGTTGCTGGGATAGAATTTTAAGAAGAACTGGATTTTTCCATACCCCTTCCCTTGTGATATCCACCAAAATTTGAAGGTTGTTATTCCCAAATTCCAGTAAAGCATCATGTGAATCCTATAAAATGTAAAAAAAAGTCATTAAAAGTCTCAGCTAAAAATTAAGCCAATATAATTTTACATTATCTATCCTAGTATTTCACTACATGCTAATACTTTCACACTATTCCTCTCAGTCATTACTGCTTTGACAAGATTTTAATAGTCCAATGTCCTTTCACTTCTCTAATCCTACTGCAAAACGTTCCAATTTCAGACTACTGAGCTGACTGAAACGGCTTAAGTCAAAAAGCCCATTCTGCAGTTGTAACTCTTCTGCAATTTTTATGGTTCTCCATGTACATGTGTATATATATTGTACAAAATACAAAGGAACTGTATGAAAGACAAAGGATGATTTTGTATCAAAGCATATAATGCTATTGAAAAACTCAGAAGAAAGACTACATTTTCAAAATGAATAACACAATGGTAAGAGTCTAAAATTGTACATTTAGTGTTTACACTAAAGATGAGCCAGTCAAATCACTTTGAGAGTCATGAAAGCCATCAGTCATTAGTTGAAAAATGCCATGGGATATTTCATCATTAAGATGAAAACTTTCTTCTACTGGAAATGAAGATGCAAATTTCTTAGAAACTAATCTATGTCCAGTGCATTTAGATGCAGGGATTTCTGATCCTAGCACATTTGATGCTGTGAAGCTGGCCCAGAGACTCTCAGCAGGTCTCCAGCTGAGCTTCACCCACAAAACCTCTACACACAGCACATGGCTCAGAGTGATCAGGGCCTGCTGCTTTGAACTCTGGAAATCCGAGGAGCAAAGGAGGAATTTAAAAAAGACATTACACATGGGAAGAATCTAGAGTCTAACACAGAAAAGAAGGCAGCTTGAAACAAATTCCAGTCATTTCATGTCCCTAGTAGAGAAACAGATGTAGGGTGACTTGAACTGAAAGCATTAAATACAGCACATGGCTCAGAGTGATCAGGGCCTGCTGCTTTGAACTCTGGAAATCCGAGGAGCAAAGGAGGAATTTAAAAAAGACATTACACATGGGAAGAATCTAGAGTCTAACACAGAAAAGAAGGCAGCTTGAAACAAATTCCAGTCATTTCATGTCCCTAGTAGAGAAACAGATGTAGGGTGACTTGAACTGAAAGCATTGAATATCATCTTTCAGAACTTCCTAATGCTGACAAATAAAGCCAACTAACTGTAAGCGATTTGTGGCTTCACCTTCAGTAAAAATGCTTCTCACAGCAGATCTTAAGTTCAGTATGTGGCAATGCCCCCTCCTTCTGCTGAGCTGTGTTTCAAGCTGTTGTATTTTTAACACAATCTTTAACCTCAGGCTTGCTTTTGATAGTCTCTGTTGTACCCTTTAGATACAATGGAGAAAGGTTTCTAGTGACTTGAAGAAACCACCAAGGGTAAGAAACCCAGGGGAATTACAGGCCAGTCAGCATAGCCTGACCCCAAAAAGAACATGAGACAAATTCTCTTGGAAACTACATGCAGTAATCTGACCACCTTCTGTGATAAGCTACACATGACATCAGTCATACTTGGCAAGGCTTCTGACAATCTCCCACAGTATCTTGAAAACAAAATTGTTAAAATAAGGAAAAGTGGACAAAATACAGGTTAAAGAAACCAGCTCAATAGCCAGACTTAAAAGGCTTGTGACAAACTGTACACACCCAACTGGCAGCTGTCTCCCAGTAGCACTTCTCAGGGTCAACAGTGAGTTGGTATTTTGAACACATTTATTGTCTGAATAATGGGACAGAGCAGATTCATTATCTGGTCCTACAGAACCAGGAGAGCAGCTGACACTGCAGGCAGCAGCCAGTAGGGCATTCAAGAGGCTGCAGAACACTGACAGGGACTCAGTGAAGCTCACCACAGCAAATGGAAGGGCTGCCCATGGTACAGCCCCAAGTGTCAGAACAGGTTGGTCACCAGCTGCCTGGGCTCCAGATTGGCACCACAGGTCTCTAGGGTCTGTAATTTAAGTGTAGGTCAGCAGTGAGCTCTTACTGCAAACAAGGCTAGCTATGCTGAACAGTCTCAAACACAGCATGACCAAGAGATTCCTCAAGTGTTTATTCCCATTTGGCCCTTTTGAAATTCCACTGCAGTACAACACCTGGTTGGCAACTGTCCAATTCATTTGCCACAGTAACCCACTTTCAGCAAAGACCACCAAGTGCAGAAGGAAGGGTGAAAATGAATATCTTAGAGCTGCCTTTATCTTCCCTGCATTGCCAGAGGGTAGCTGGAGCTGTCTAGCAAGAGACTCACAGGAAAGGAAATTCTCTAAGTGTGCGTGCAGGAAGTGCTTCCATATGTAAACACTCATTTTGAAAGGACTAATGAAAGTTTTTGCATTTTCCATTTGTTAAAGACAACATGTGGTAGGGGCAAGACCCTAAGCAATCTGATTTAAGAAAGCCCTCTTACTCTGAGTGAAGAGGTGGATCAGATAACTAAGCTTTCTTCCAGCAAACTCATGCCTCTGCCACAACAGAAACCTTCAGAGCTGCAGACTGAGCACACTGAAATTTCAAACTATGTCTGGAAGCACACTTTGTGGAAGTCGGTGCTTCTGCCCTATATGAGTATTTTTCCAACTGCAAGAAAAAAACCAAACCAACATCAGACTGAGCAAAAAACCACACATTAGTTCTTTCCAAATGCAGAACTATACTGCAGACTTCCACCTTCTAAGGACCATAAAATTAGAAGTCTCATAGCTAAATGCAACAATCAAGCAGTTCTGGTAACTGTAACAATCTCATCTTCCTTAGCAGCATGAAATGTTTTCTATAGATATTGCCCCAAAGTTAATTTTAGTTTTAGATAACTGTTGTAACCGTGTTCCAACTGTCAGCTCATAGCAACCTGCTAACTGAAATCATTAAAGACCACGCTAATTCTAAAGTGATTATAAAGAAAGTAAAATTAGTGAGTGACTTATTGGTAAGACCACCTCAAAAATCAGGTGTTGGTACTGGTAGAGGAGTTGGTGCTAATTGGCAGATGCAAAGATAGCCAAGTAGGATGCTTGCAATGACTGATTTCTGGTCTTGAGCTTGAAATGCTACTCACAAGGTTAAAAATAATTTTGGAATGTCACACCTGGACCCTAAAGACACAAGGGACTTTATATGCTCTTGACCAGAGCTCCAACTGCTCTTAGCTATCAGCACTGAGACTGACACACAAGGGTTTCAGGCTGTGTTTAAGCATTTGAGAACATCACTTAAGCAATCCTTAGGCTCACACAGCTCTTCTTCCTCTCAAGTCTTTGCTTCCACGGCATGCTGGAACAGTCAACAAAACACACCACAAAGACTCCCAGGGAAGAAGTGGGTTTTTTTGTTTTGTGTTGCTTTTTAAAACTAAAACATGATCAATTCCCCACTTTACACTGAGCTAAATGGCATGCCAATAGAAGCAGCCAGGTGAATGACACACAATGCTTAACAAAGTGCTACTGTCAAAAGATGCTCAAGTTGTAGCAGCCTCAGAACAGCTTTAAAAACACCACTGGAAAACAACAAACTGATCTAAATTTCCATCCACGAAACACCTAACCACAGCCCAGTTTCTGTAACTGGTAGTTACTTCCTATGGGAAGTTTTTGTATATTATCTTCAGTCTTGAGGATGATTAAGAAAACAGCCACAGGTGTGCAGGTAGACAAGATACTGGGTGTCACCTAAAAAATCAATAAAGCCCATTTCAACAACCTCTACTTCAGGCCCTTCCCAACTACATGTCACACAGCATTAAGTCTTTTCAACACAACAGGTTGCCAGAGCATCCATCATGCATGCTCCTCCCTCACACTAATGGCACAGCATTAATCTCAGTCTCAACTATAGATCAGGTCAAAGACTAACTCCAAAAAACTGTCAGCATTTAAGAGTTTATGTGTTCAAACTTCACCTTGAAGACTGAACTTGATGAGATTTAATTAGCTTTATTCAGCACAGGTGTTATGCCCTAGAAAGGGGTGGAACTACCAAAGCACTGAGGAGCCAGAAGCCATGGCTCAGAAACAGCCAGAGCAGCCCACTCATCTGCCGGCACTACTGCAATGACATGGCTGACAAAAAAAACTTTAAAAATCATACAACCTGGACACAGGTTAGGTACTGAAAATATCACTGTCCCTCAGATTATGACATTCCATGATCCAGACATCCCACATAAACAATGTCTTCCCAAGAGCAACTGCTCCCTAAGCTGAGGGCTTCAGCATGCAGTACAGAGCCAGCAGAGCCCAGCCCAGCTATGGGCATCCATCACATCTCAGCACCTCTGGGGGCTGAAAGGACCTAGGAAGGTGAGAAAGAAGGGACTTTTGATACAAGCAAGCTGATTTGTTGAGTCCACAGTGTTTGAGATTCAGGGTATCAGTATCAAAATACCAAATAAAAAATTCACCAATATATGTAGCATAAGCAATTAACTACTGTCAGTACACTGCCCTTTCACTACAGTGCTTAGCTGAACCATATTGGACCTGCTGAAGAATATAAAACTAATATTAATGGGAATATATGCAAAAATCTATTATGAATACATCAGAAGTCCTTGAAGACACTCAATGCAACATTTACATGTACAGATCCCATCAAGTTACAACAGGTTCTAAAGAGCAGGACATAAAACATTTCATTCTAGATGAAGTCAGGAAAGAATAATACAGTAAGAGTCTATGGACAAAGTTCAAAAGAAAAGACAAGCCTTGAAGCAGTTTACTGAAGACATCAGGATTTTTCAGTCCTGGCAGTTTAGAGTGATCAGCATCTACTACAGCTTCACAGAAGTTTTTGGCTTATGCTCTCCCTCAACTCACAGTTTTTCTAAATAAAGCAATGATGCTCTTTGTAAGGCTTGAAGGGAACCCTGTTCCACAGCCCATATTCAATACTCAGAACAACACATCTCTACTCCCACCGAAGATGTTTTTGAATGCATGGTTTTACCCTTCTTCACCTGACTGGATGATATTGACCCACACAGAACTTCTCCACTGAGCTCCTCCCCCAGATTAACAGTTTACTTGTATCAAAAGCTGTGTTGTAATTCTGCCCCAATCCTTTCACTCATATTTTACAGCATTCCCCATTTGTGTCTGCATCTTTTTGCTTGCTGCTACTGAATAAATCCATGCTGAGACTCCTGCCATAAAATCTCACACCTTGTTTTGATTTTGCCCAAATTGCCTTTGATCTTGCCTAGGGATGAGGAACACTGGACTCACAGGTGACTGCAGGACACAGCTGCTGTTATTTAGGATACCAGAACAAACAGGTTCAGACACCAAATAAAGATTTTGACTGCATTTTGTGTGTCCAGTACAAGCTGGACATCAGTGACACTCCACTTTCAGGTCTAGGACAATCCTCACACCTTGATGCTTTGAAATGCAAGCCCTCACTCACCTTTCACATTCCTGGGATGAAAATTTATTTGAAGTTTCACTGACTCCCATTACCTGTGTAATTGTTACAGAGCAACAATTACTGCAGGCAGATCCAAAAAATACCTCCCATATTAGGAGTTACAGTCCTCTGAAGCCATGCTTGTCTGTTTTATTAGGAAAGCAATAAGCACATTTACATCCATCAGTCTTGGGCATGTGCTAACATAATTCTGCAGGGCTTTCCTAATGGATTTGCCTGGAGATCTGCACATCACACAGTCACACACAGGTTTAAACCTACAAGAGATTCCTGTCTGAAGGTCCCTGTTGCCCTTCATATGACTGACACACTCCTTCTGTGGTGACAAGTGTGTTCCTACTGTACTCCAAGGCAGGTACAAGCATTGTCATTCTCATGCTTCTGCCAGAGAGCTACTTCAAAATCTCATTAGAATCACCTGTTTGTAAAAGTCCACAAACCTCTCCAGGAATTTTTCAGAATATCACCATGTTTAATCAGTTCACTATCTGAACTACAGGTGAGTGCTAAACTTGGAAGCCATAGCTTCAAAAAGACACTACAAAAGCCAAGCATATATTACTACTCCTGGCAGCAGCACATCTTGAATTCTCCCTTGATTCTAAAAGTTGACATGAGAGATCTGAGCTTGTGCCACCCTTTGTAGAACCCCAGAAGAGAAGGGCTCACATGTATGGCTCAAACACCAATAGTGAGATGCTGAGGACCCAACCAAGGATTATTGCTAATAACACATTGTGAGAAAGACAAAATGTGGTTGGAAAAGTCACCTTAACCCTTCATCCAACCCCCCCTGCTGTGTGCCTACATGGTAGGTAAAGCACTAATACACCAATTTCCATGCCAAGCATGTAATTTACTAATAAAATCTTGGTTTTGCGCATCCTCTGCCTTCTGTAGATTCTTAAGGCCACAAGGATTTACAAATCTTGGATACTCTGTCCCTCTTAAGAGTGGGACATCACACCCTTCTACCACTGGAATTTAACAGCTCCCTTCCAACATATTCAGCATAAATAGAGCCATCTCATCAGACTAAAAATCTGCTCTCTATTGATAGACATATCAAAGTCTGATTGCTCATTTCAAAATCCTAGAAATGCAAAGATCTGTTACATCACAGAAATCACAAAACTTAGTAACAAGAATTCTCCTTGCAGATCCCTCCAGTTAAAAGCCAGCAACTTTTAGAGCTGTGCTGTAACTCTGCTATAATGAAAAAAAAACCCCTGTATATGCCTTCCCATATTCCAAAAATCTTTTTTCAGGTCTAGGCCATCTCAACTACAAACATATTTGCCTTTTAGTGTAAGATAAGATCACAGGGCTTAGGGGAGACCTTATTCCCATCTTCCAGTATTTAACGGTAGCTAAAAACATTGATGGATACTCCCTTTTTACAAGAACTCACATGGACAAGACATGGGGTAATGGGTACAAGTTACTCCTGGGGAAATTCTGATTGGACAACCAAGGAAAATTTTTCATAAAGAGAAGATTCAGCCACTGGAAGTCTCCCCAGGGAAGTGGTGTATTCTCCAACATTGGACAATTTAAAGATTTAGCTGGACAGGGTGGTGGGCTCCAACATTGGACAATTTAAAGATTTAGCTGGACAGGGTGATGGGCTATCTCATCTAGACGCTGCCTTTGTCCAAGAAAGGCTGGACCAGATCATCCCTGAGGTCCTTTCAAGCTGGTACTCTGTGATTCTGATTCACTCCTCTTTACCCTGACTATATTAGTAAATTAAAGAGTTACTTTGGAAACACTAAGTTTCAACACCTTGCATCAGCCCTGACATAAAAGATGAATCTGTGGCTGACCACCCTTATCTGTGGCATCCCCACAAACAAAGGGGTTGAGAGCACAGACCCAGCCTTTGGCAACAGCCAAACAGACAGCATAGCTGGGCACTATCAAAATGATCTGCTACACCCTCAAACCTGGCTCTGGAGTGCTGCAATGTCCATTGTGCTCTGTTACAGCCACTAAGGGAGTCACAGGACCCATGAACTCAAAAGAAAGGACAGATCTTTTTCACCACTAAAGCAATAGGATTTAAGCTATTCAAACTGCATTTGTTCCTATTACCAAGTACATGCCACCTACAAGTGTTTCATGACAGTAAATATTCCATGGTATTTCAGTAAAAGGAGGTTTCTCTACACCTGGACTCAGTCAAGCACAGACCATCTCTGTTCCTTCTGCTACTAGCAGGATTACAAAGCTCTGCTAGACTGCTTCTCTCAGTTTAAAGTGACAGGTTTATTCACCTTCAGTCTACTGAAAAGTTTTCACACCTCTTGTTTCCTTGACTGCAGGGAAAACAAAAATAGCAGCTCAGTACTAGCATCTTCAGAGCTAATGCAGCAGTAGCCAAGCCTCAGGGACTGCGAAAATCCCCAGCCAAAGGGGTATAAGGTCACACAATAAAGACAGCTGCAAGGTCTAAGTCACTTCCAACTATTTCCTGCCAGGATCCTCACCTCAGTAATTTATAACTGAGATTAGCTTCCAAATTTACCAGTCAAGCTAAAGCCAGAACAGGCAATAGCAGAAGCAGAGCAGTCCCTGGTCCTGCAAGGGCCCATCAATATGAATACAGCAATACCACTCCTGGCTTTCAGCTCCATGAGGAGCACCAGTTCCTGCAGAGAGCTAGGTACTACCTCCAGACTAAAACCCAGAAAACATCTCTTCTTCCTACACAGTCTATATTAGCCATCTTGATTTGAGTGTAGGAGTGTTGTAGTATGAGCTTATTTCAGCACCATCCATGAAGAAACACTTCTAAAAACCACCTGGACTAAAGACCTGCCCTACCATTTCCATCCCTCTCAAATCAGGTACAACCTGCCACTTAGACCTCCACAAAAGCTCCTTTATTATCAAAGCAATGCTTCAGAGCTGTTAAATCATTTAACTCAATCTACCTCCTCTACAAATCATTCAATCAAGACTAAGGTTCTCTTGCTTCCTTAAGCTGCCATCAACCATGTGGTTATAAATATGCTGTTGGGCCTTGAGACTCCCAATGAGGCTGCTGCAGTCAGACTTTTGCTGCTCAGAAATTCTTGCTGCCTAGGTAACAGCAATGCAGGACAAGTGGAACTCAGGGGAAGGGTAGAAGAGAAGGAATACAACTGCAGCCTTTTTTTTTTTTAATATGTAAATTGCAAAAAAGAAATTCAGAACACTTACCTGAATGGATTGATGGAATCCTAACCACACCTCATGTGGTAATTCACTTTCAGGAATTGAAAGCAGTAGCTCAAAACAACTCCTGGAAAAGCAAAAGGCAAGTAAACAAGCTACCTGAACACATTCTCTTGTTACATTAAATAACATTTCTGGCACATGCTACTTAGTATTCAGCTAGGCAATGACAGTAACACTGAAACATGTTAGATTGTGCAAATCAATTAAAGGCCTGAAAGAGCCTGTAAACCAGGCATGATTCATCACATGGAAACAGTGCTCCTTTTACTACATGCAACCTCTCTAATTTGAGATTGCAGCTACTCTTATCATAAAGATAGTCCATTCAATGTAGCTCAGGAACACTGCATCACAGAATTCTAGTCTTTCTTCTCAAGGGAAACCTAGTAATAATTCTAAATAAAGCTCACTGCAGTCCAGCCTGGTTTCTGCCTAGAGGGAGAATGAAAGCCAGCTTCACCTAACTCAACATTTCAGCACTAACACAAGAAAAAAAACCCCAAGAACAGCTTGACAGAAGACACATGCATTGGCACCAAAATGGATCTGGACAAGGTATGTCAAGAGGAGCATCAGCACCTAGAAACACCCTCTGAGCCTTTGATACCAACGGGGGAGCATTCCAATACCTACAGCACAAAGGCAGGACTGCTGCCTGTCTTGTTCTCAAACAGGAGCTATCCAGCCTTGTGTGGAGCACATGGATTGCCTAAAACCCTACTGAACAGTTAGACCCAGTCAAACTAAAAGTGTTAACCATGACACTCTGCCTAGAGACTCACAAGACTCACACACAGCAGAAGTTTTCATAAATTGTGACAATATAAGGAAAGAAAACTAATCTAGGACAAAAAAGCACTATAAGCTTTTTCATAAGCTACATCTACACTGTTAGATAGTTTAAACTCTTGCTACTTTTTCTTCAAAACATCCTCTCTCAAAAATTAAACAGAAGAATGACAGGGCAACACATTGCATCTTAGACAGACAGACAGAAGAACTGAGCTTGGGGAAGTGGAAAAGGAAGAGATGACCAAGAAGCAAACATGAGTTTCAGATTTGCTCAGTACTCAAAAAGAATGTCCATCTTCCTCCTGACTAATGCATTTAACAGGTACCTACCAAATGCTATACATAGTTTTTAGCCAGATTCAGTAGCCATATACATCAACAAGACCAAATGGATGAATATTCTTAATAAAATAACCAGGACTGTTTTGCCTTCTAGTCCAACTTGGCAGTACAAGCTAATTCACCAGCCCAAATGTTTAGACCCAGGTGGTTGCTAACAGACTACCAAAACCAACTTGATGGAACACCTGAACTCTATTTTAACATAAAACTCCCTAAAAACCCAACAAAACAACAAGAAAACCAACCAAAATCCCCAAACAAAAAAAAAAACCAACAACAAACCAACCAAGAAAATCCCTAGGTATGTGTTGTGTTTTCATCCAAGTCACACAGACTCTCCACCCAGTAGCACATTTGCAAACTTCATGGTCAATGTACTTTTGTAAAGTCTTTTGATGCACACCTCACTTTCAGTCTTAGTCAATCAATCCTACCTATGTCCACTTTCAATTCCAAGAATTACATTTTCTAGAACATTTCTTTTTCATATCTGTGATATTGGCTATGTAATATAATAGACTTGAACAAAACTACAAAGCAAGCTTTTAAATAATTTTTCTAAACTTAAGCATTAAGTTGCTACTTGGACAATGAAATAATCTGCAATTACATTTTCAAAGCATTGTGTACACAGGGTGAGATAGTCTAGGAAGACAAGAGGATTTAATTTATGCCTCCAGAGTTATTCTCTGTTGTAGCAACACTGGACTGATCTGAACCCAAAGGGAAAAGTTCTTTTGCTGCAAGTCTTCAAATCCTCCTCAGGATCCCAGCACAGAGAGCTGTGGTCTGGAAGTCACTCCACAAGAAATCTGGAGCTCCAGATTATAAGCTACCACATAAAACAACTTACAGCGCAATTGTAAAAGTAACATCCAGGATATTCCAATCACAATTTCCTTGGCAGAAAACCAATTAGAATTCTAAGTCAATTAACTACGTTTTTTGGTAAGAATTGATTCAAACACACAGGTGTATAAAACCTTCCCAGTGCCAAGGGGGACAACACACTATTTAGCTTAATTCTTTCCTTTGGTCCTTATTATACAATACTTTAAAACACACCTCTGCCCCTGAAATCCCATTTCCCTCTTTATTGTAATGCAGCTAAATGGAGTTTACATGTCATGGCTAGGCCACAAATCAAAATACCAGGATCATGCCATGAAGTCAAGCCTTTCTAACCCTACAGCACCAGTGCCACCACAATGCCTGCCTATACAAAACTCAATTCTAAACTTCAATCACAATTTTTGCAAATAAACTGTAATGGGTGCTTGAATGTTTACATTATTAGAAAAAGATATTATCCACTTCAAATATATTGAATATATATAAAATACATTCAAATATATATTATCAACTTCAAAATATCTTTTAAGAAAAGGTGTCTTAGATATAAATTTCTTTATTTTGGAACAAATAACTCTATGCAAAATTCAATATATTATTTGCACATAATTTTTCAGTAATACCTCATTTCAGTTATACCTCATTCACAGAAACTTTTTAATTAAATTTTAAAACCTTTCAGAACTGTGTTCATCTTTACATTGTATTAGAACACTTTTCTATCCTAATCTTCTCAGAGACACAAAGATGACTCATTATACATTGGATTATCAGCACGAATTGTTCACTTGTTGCCAGGAATTTTCCTGTGCTTATTAAGAGTTGAATTAGCTCTTAATGATAGACAGCAGAGTGGCAAATGCAAGCTAGTGAATCAAGCTGCAGCAGTGGATTAGGCTGAGAGCTCTGTGACACAGGCAGCTCAGTGTCACCTGTGCCTGCTCAGGGCTGAGGGAAGCAAGCAGGCTGCTCCTGGAACAACACCTGCCACATTCCACAGGTACAGCCCAGAGGGGAGCTACAGCTCCAAGCTACAGCCAGACTGGTCTGATTGGTTCCATACAGCTTTGCTTCTTAAACCTGATGGCATTCAAATCTCCTTTCACTTTTTATAAAGGGTTGAAAAAAACCCCATACAAACACCTTCTCAAAGCTGTCAAAGTGGTAAATTCCCTTTCAGTTCAGTGCCAGCACAGCACCCAGGAGAAAGTGGAAAGCAGTTCAATATTAGTTAGTGGCAAACACCATATGACTTATGACCAAATATTTCTTCTTTTTTAACCTATTTATCTTAGAATCAAATAAACCATTTTCAGATAGAAGTAAAATTCTCATACTGATGGTAATATGACCCCTTGCCCCTCACACCAGCTCAGAAATAAAGCACTTACAGAAGCCTGAGTGAATAACAAACTCCAGGGGTCTCCTGAGATTCACAGGGATAGCCAGTAACTAACTGAGTGAAAGAATCTCTGATATGGCTAATTCTTTAGTATTTATTCTAGAGGCAATACCTTTGGAACAGGGATACTGGGGGGTGAGGGGAATGCAGTGTGCTTTGGGGCTGTGAGAATAACCTGTCCAGGTTCCACTTGAGCAGGTGAGTCACTCCATGGCCAAACAGAACATTCCTGTTCCCCACCACAGACACCCCCAACCGTTTGTCACGTCTGCAATCTACAAGAGCAACCAGCCCAAGCTTTCCTTTTGTTTCCTAAGGTTGGACAGTGGACCAACAATAGCTCACACTGCATGAGCATCGTGTTTCTTATGGCACAGTCCCTCCATCATGTCAGCTGCACTGTGAACACAAAAAGGACCCCAGCAGGGAGCAGGGGAAACCACAATATTCTGAGTTTTGCTGTTACTGGCTCACCCTGCTGAGAAGGAAGTCAAGAGGAGGAAATTCTTTTCCTCCTCTCCAGGAGGAATGTTGGAAGGGAAGAAGGATTTCAATAGGAAGTAGAGCACTTCTGCTTTGGAACAGCAAGTTTGCTCACTTCACTTCCAGTCAAGATTCAAGTCTGAAAACACAGTGTGTATGACGGCTGTGGGTAACCCAACTGTCTCCTCAAAAATCACAATTACATGAGAACAGTATGTTTTCATGTCCCTAACTAGGTAACAGTCTTCCTCCCTCATGAAACCTCACCTTTTATCTTTAATTCCCTGCTCTACCTTCTCTCACAGTCCCTTGGAAGCTTATGAAAAAGAAAAGCTGTGGGAGAGTTAATTTGGGTATGCAATTATCCTCCTTATCTTCCACCTCACTTTTTGTATTTCTCATTCTTTAGATTCCTTTCAAATGTAATCATTATAAGAAAGGAAATTTCAGCAAGTCAGCTCTTCTACTGTCCTCTAACACAAAGTTTTCTGAATATACAGGCTACAACAAACTCCTCCCACTGAAAGCTGGAAAAAAAAACATACTAGCAAAAGCAAAATATTCTGATATTCCCAACAAGACAAAAGCAATTTTGATACAGAATTTACACCCCAAGATACCCAACAGTGGCAAAATATACAGAAAATAGTCCAAGTAGAGATGCCCTACAAACACAAAATGACAAACTTTTAAAATTACTTAAGTAGGAAACAACAAGCTAATTAATGATAGTATGATAAAGACAATAATACTCAATCCTTAAGGGGACAGTCTGAAAAAGCAATGAAGATATTTTGCCAAAAATGTGTATCATGTACCAGGTAAATGCAGTTAAAGTCTTAGGTTTCCACTGTAAGAACCTATGACACACTTCTCCTGATTTCACATGTTTTCAAACAAAACCAAAACCACTCCTAGTTCACATATTTCTCACAACTAAAAAGAAAATAATTCAAGGCATCATTTGGAGATAATCTGGTTCTGAGCTGTCCATTTATATTGCAAGTCAGTCCATTACAAAATAAATCATTTGCCCAAGGAGTTCACTGCTAAAGTCCATCCTAAAGAGAACACCTGAGTTCAGACCACAAAACAAGTAAGAGACCGATAACAGAAAACCCCAAAAATTGTCACAGAATCACTTCCATTCTATGATGATCTTCATATTCAAGGTTTTAGATCTTCAGCCTCCCTCCTCAGATGAAACCTCACCAGGCAAGGAACGAGCAGCACAGCACTTCATCCTTCTCAGGTTATCCTGATTATAGCCAGTGCACAGGAAAGCCCTCAGTCTACACTCTCCAATTACAAAAAGCTGCTTTGCACTTAGGACAGACTTTGAGGAATTACAAGTTATCCAAATTCAGCTGATGGACTGTAAAATGTTTTCTATTCTGTTCCAGGAATTGCTGTGCTTTAAGTCATGTCTAGCCTGCTTTGCAATCCTACAGCACAACTCAGACTGCCATGAACAAAAATCAGCTTGTCCTTTTCAACAAGGGACACATTCAGAATGCCCCTGCACTAAAGGGGACAGGACACACAGAGCTGCAACTGCAGAGCAAAGGATACAGGTTTATTAATGCATGTGTGAAAGTCTAATATTGAAGCTTCTGTTTAAGGAGTACTACACTAAGCAGTTTCTAAAGAAAATACTTGCAGAATGTTTTAAGAAAGAACAGAACCTTCCTAAAACCTACATGATTATCCAAATACAGAAGAATAAAGTATTTGTCCATGTTAATTAAATGCTCAGATACATTTTTGTGATATAATTAAAAACGTACTAAATGTACCAGATAAATTGCAAATATAGTTGTCAAATCAAGCAATAAACAATTTCAACAGCTTGCCCTTTAATTTATAAAGTGCAGTTCTTTTTAAAACAAAAAAAAAATTAATATACCAACTTAAAACTTACAGCACTAGCCTGCCAAGTACCAAAAGAACATCTTCACATTCTGTAGTCAAGTAAGGTCTTGCATTAGCAAAGCTTTGGATGGAGATTCGATACACTTCCAAAAAAGGTAAAATATGTTCCGATGCACCCCGACTGCCAGCATACTGGAGCAGTGTCTGAAACAAAACGAGGGATCATTAGAAGTTCTTACAACACACTTTTGCTTCAAAACAAATATCAATACACAATATCAGACACATACAGTGGAATCATTCTGGAAGTGAGAAATTTTTACTCTGAAGAAGAATTTAAAGTGACAGCTTTTTAGCTCAACAGAAATTCTCCCTTTTATTGAAATATATTTTTATTTACTTTATTATCTTGATAAAGTTATCAGAATTTGTACTGGGAAGAAAGCTAGATGCAATTGGCAGAAATGTGAGCTATTAAGTACAAAATTCAGGGAGAAGTCCTACACTTGGCTCTTTTTGTGCAACTACCATGGAGACAGAACCATGTATGTAACACTGGAATGTTTATTACTACTGAGAATGCACAAAAAATAGGCAGAAACTCAAGATTAAGAACATTACTACAGATGTAGTGTTTTAAACATCCATGCATTACTCACACAGCAAACATGAAGCCACCAGCAAGGGATCCAAAACCCAGAGCAGATCATTATGCAGGCATTTTTCCAACACAATTACCCCAGATTTTACTCCTTGGCCACAGCCATCCCACATTACCTGGGCACGGTACTAAAGCAGCAATATAAAATCTAGCCAGTTTTAACAAATCACATCAACACAGGGACAACACCAGCACACCCCAACGTTTTTAAAAGGTACCTACACTACCATGCTGTGCTAGGAGTACAATTTGAGAGCAAGTGGGGCACTGAGCTGAGGACACCTTAGCTCTGCTGACTGCTTGCTTCACAAGTGACACCCTCCTACACCCCAGAGCAGTGATGCTCGTGCACTTACCAGTTTACTCTCCCTACACTAAACAAGGTCACAATCTTGGTTAAAGCAGCTGCAAAGGGAAAACCAATGAAAGAAGCTGTGCTTTTTGGAATCCTTGGGGCCAGGACTTGGCCTGCCCAGGGAGGTGGTGGAGTCACCATCCCTGGATGTGTTTAAAACAAGCCTGGATGTGGCACTTGATGCCAGGGTTTAGTTGAGGTGTTAGGGCATGGGCTGGACTCAATGATCTTTAAGGTCTCTTCCAACCCACTGAGTCTGTGAATTCTGTGAAGATTGCATGGGGAAAAAAAAAAAGTTCAGAGTGCTTCACCCTACCATTTAAAACAAATCAAATTGTCCTTACAAGGATGGTGAGGCCATATCAGTTTTCAAATCACTTAAAGTTGTGACTCTGACACAACAAACTTATTTTAATACCTTACAAAAACCTACATGATCTTATCAGATGGTGATGGAAACATCACACTATGGAACAAACCCTTCTACAAGCTTGCTAAAACCACATGCAGTCATAACAGTGACCAAAACCTACCCTCCATCACAGCAGGAAATAAGTGGCCAGTACCCAATGTTACATCAGTGATACAACTGCACTATATTAGTCCTAGCAAGGACTAATATAAATAAAATAATATAAATAAATACTAATATAAATAAAAACAGTGCAGACTAGCAGAACCATGTGTCACAGTTAAGAAAAAGAAATCGATAAAAAATACCATCTAAGAATCAGTAATCTGCTGTTTTGTGGATTGTTCTCCAACAATTAATGAAGAGAACTTCTGGGTGAATGGAAGTTACAAACTTTCCCAAAACCCCACATAATATCAATAGTTATAGACTTTAAGCTAGGGGCATGGAACTGGAAGTTTGCAGAAATCATCCTTAAGCACAGCACAAATATTATTAGCTGCAGCAGGTAATGGTAATATCACTCTTCAAGTTTATTGAACAGATTAATGGATTTGATAATATAACTCAAATCATATATTGCTTTGTAGCATTAAATCACATTCAAAGACTGTCAAGCTGCAGTTCCCAAAGAGAGCCAACTGATGACTATCATAAATCAGCTGTTTAGTAAAGCCAGCAGTAACACTAGCATTACAGAGACTAGAGAAACAGATCAAACACACCAATCCCTGCACTTTTCTAAAAATAGATAACATTAAAACCAATCTATTTAAAAATCAAATTTAGTACTCAATTATTTTGACACACACTTTGATCATAAACTACCTGGTCTATGTACACCATAAAACACAGCAGAATACTTTCTAAGATTAAATCAATTTTCTAGTAAACACTGCAGCCTTGCTCAAGTGCAACCTGAGCACTGGGATCAAAGTCTCAAAGCTACCATCAGGAATTCACCGAGTAACTCTTTAAGAGAAACTTCTTGTCAAACACATAAACAATGGTTTCAGTGTAAAAAACAGATTCAAGGTGGCAGATTTATTAACAGCTTAGACTTCAAGGATCTGTAGTTTGGAACATTATGATGCCATTAGTGTGGGCATACTGACAGATAAGCCAAATGTAGTAAATGTATTAAAGGAGTTCTTCAAAGCTCTTGTGATAGTTGTTTGGTTGTCCACTATGCACTTCTCCTGGCAGTCTGTACAAAAACTATTATGGAAAAATGATTAACTTGACAGAATTAGATAACCTACAAGTTTAAGGGATTCTCAAGTAACAATTTAGAAGCAATTACTACCTTACAGTATAATTACCTGAGAAAGTATTCACACATTTAACGTCTGGCTCATTCACACATCCCACCCTCCTGTTCCACTCCAGGAACACACCTGGTGGGCAGGTGGGGTGAGAAGTGCAGAGACCACATCCCCCTGCTGTGTGACACAGGCCAGCCTAGGCCTCCTCACTGCACAGGTTGTCACTTTCTGCAGTGACAGAACACCTGCTGAGCTGCACTTCTCAGAAGTGTAATTTTTTTGCTCAGATCCAATTTAAAGACAAAGATCTCAAAGTTTCCTGACCTCTTGGTACAGCTTTGAGACTTTTTAAGAAAAGGACTTTGTCTTCTTAACCATATCTGATTGCACTCAACATGTAAACTTCAAAAATTTGAAAAGCCAAGAGCTGCTGGGCACTGGCAGATGGGATGCTTTGACATCCTACAAGCTTCACTGAAAACTGTTCTTCCCATTTATGACAGCACAGCCCCAAACACTCCCCTTAGTTGTTCTATCTGGCTCTTTGGGTACATATTGCAATCCACAAAATAACAAGGTGAATGTGCAAAGCATTAATGCCTATACAACATAAAGCTGCAGAGTCAACCCATTATTTAGGCTTCAGCATTCTTTGTTTTGTTATCATGGACAACAGTACAATTTCCCTGCTTGAAAACAGGGAACTTGGAGGAAATTGTGACATCCAGCATCACTCCCTGTATGAGCTACTGGAAAGCTGCACACAGCAGCACAAGTTTACAAGTGGTAAAACAGCATTCAGACAGCTCAAAGCAAAGGAAATTCACTGATTTGGTTCAGTTTGCCTGACAGCCAGGGTGATTTCCACAGCAAAACAAAGCAACTTCCAGGCCCCTGCCCCAGCTGTACTCACAGGATGGCAAACATAAAACATTGCAGCTCTCCTTACACCAGCTACTTCCCAAAATCAAACTTGAGCCCATTAAATCCAGCTTCTTTCTCAGCACATTTTGCTGTAGCTTAGTAACTTTATAGCAAGGTATCAGTGGTACCTTCCAAGTAATTAATACAAAACTGAGCTCCCTAAATTTCACTCATGGGCAGACCTTAAGTTATTGTGGTTATCACCACAAACATCCTGTCAGGAGAAACCCAGACATAAAATTCCACCCCACCACAGTGGTGTGACTGCACAAAGACATCACAAATTCATCCTCTCTGAAGGATGGACCAGCAGCAGCTCCATGTCTCCCACTGCATCCCCTGGAGCCCAGGCAAGACAATCCAAAAAGTGCCAGACTGGTGGCAACTCAAAACCAACTTTTCCATTTTTATCTGTGCTATCACAGCATTTTAAAACCAGACTACAGTAACAGCACAAGGCCACAGAGAGCTACATGATTTGTGGAGCGTGGTTTGGGGTCTTTTTTTGTTGTTGTTGTTTACTTTTTTTTAAGCAGCAGAACTGTCTTTCACCACCACACTCCACTGACCAAGCATCTTTAAAGCTTCTTCTGTACTCAACTAATCTGGGAAACTGGACATGTACACACAGAGATCATCCTGACAAGGATCCACTATTAAGGGTCAGCTGAACATTTGTGTCAATGTTCTGACACAACGTACACAACTGGAAACAAATTTAGCAAAACCTGAACTTGGACAGGCTGACACTTTGTAGCAGGCTCCATGTCAGTGCAAGGTCACACACACAGAATTTGGAACTAACACAGCAGGATGCAGCTGCACCCCGCAGCTTGAAAGAGTTTAAAAATCTAGTAAATACATTTATTCTCTGGTTTCAGTAAGCGATGAGCTAAACATCCTCCCAGAATGGCACAGCACAAACCTGTGGATGCAAAATGGAAGACTGTGAAGGGTAACACCACTTGTACATAATTTGTGACAACCCAGCAAGCTTTTTTCTCTGGTTTTACCATTCATCAGTCAAACACTATAACTTAATCAGCTGAGGTATTGTAAACTAGCTTAGAAAACAGATTTTTTTTCTTTCTTACTTTAAACCCCACAATCTCTCCAGACTCAACAGGGACAATTCTCCAACCCAGCATCATAACAACAATTTTTCAACCTTAGAGCTCACAGTAAATGATGCTGTGAGGGTAGCAAAAACTAACCACTGGAAGAGTTTACTAAAGAACGACTTATCTCCATCACTGTGGCTTTAATCTACATCAGCTCTTCTTCTGGAACCCAGGGCCCCAATTCAGAAACTGGTGATCGTTCTCAGGGTTGCAGTAAGCAAGTATTCAAGCCAAGCTATCCAAACCACAGTCACTCAGTGACTTTAGGGCCCTGCAGGCCCTGACAGGCCAGCAAGCCCCCCTTGCACCCCTGGCCGATCTCAAACAAGGCGAATACGCAGATTTGATCCCGAGACAAGCGAAACAGACAACCGGAGGTGTCGGAACCGAGCCAAGACCGCACCGAGAAAATGCGGTCAGCCTGCCCCGGAGAGCCGGCCGAGCCCGCAGCACGCCGCGCTCCGAGGCGACGCCAGAGCCCCGGGGCGAGCAGAGCCCGCGGAGCGCCGGGCAGGGCGTGCCAGCCCCGCCGGGCAGCCGGGCACGGAGCACCGAGCGCGGAGCACCGGGAGCCCCGGCAGAGCGAGCGGCAGAGCCGAGCCTGCCCCGCCGG